GACAAATAAGTCTCTCATCTAGAATTCTGACATTCAGGGATAAGGTGCTCTTGTGTCAAGAGGGTTTGGATTCTCCCCAGAACAACTTAGGTTTTGCGTTGTGATCTTCAGCCAGTCCCATCCCTTACAAACAGTCAGGGTCCCATTGCTGTGAATGTCTCTATCCTGGGCTTACTTTTTCCCCACTACCTTCATAGTATAACACTCATGCTGCCATCCCATAGAGCATCCCAAACCTTTAAGATTTACATTTCACACATTTTATCTTAGTTGAGCCTCACAATACCTATATGAGGTAGGTAATAATAATAATAATAACAATAGAAGGTTTTTTTTTTACAGATTGAATAAAGTACAAATTAGAACTTTAAAGAGCTCACCTGTTATCACCTAGCTAAAAAATGTTAGAGATACGATTCAAACCCATTTCTCTCTTAATTCCTCATTCTAGTACTTTTTCTAGTTTATACCATGATGCCTTTAGTCAGTGCTACTACCACTGCCTACTATTTTTACTACCACTATCACCACTGCCATGGGCAAAACGGCATGGCATAGAGGGGCAGCCTTGGAATGAAGACCTGGGTTCAAGTGCATCTGAGGCACATACTGGATAACCATAAACAAGTTACTTAGTCACTCAACATACCTGGAAAATATCTAAGGCTTTAAGGGACACGCAATATGCAATCTTCATCAGTGAATTGGAGTTTCCACACCAGAAATTCCCTAGACCTATGAAATGACAGGACTGGACTAGAATTCTGGAAAGCATTTTATAACTCAGAAAGCAAGACGCTGTGCTGGATGCTTGAGAAAGGAGGTAATGCAGAAAAAGAACAATGATAACATTGTTCCTGACCTCAAGGAGCTTACTAAAGTAGAAAGACTTATACCCAGATATACATTGTGCAAATTGGAATCTGATGATTTTAGAAGAGGAGCACAGGGAACTTATGAGATAGTGGGAGAATCTGCTGGAGAGTCAGCATAGATTATACCCTTCTGATCTCCTGTCAAGTGGGAAAGCACAGGAGAATGGGGGCTTGGACAGGTCAGGAGACTTGCCCTCTAATCCCTACTGAATCATTTTAGGAAAGTCACTTACCCTCTCTGCGCCTCAGTTTTGCACTATAAAATAAAGATAACCTGCATTGTTTACATCCAAGAGAGAATATGAATCTCAAATGAATGAACAGATATGAAGTCATTTTGAAACACTCAAAAGTACCACGTAATTGTCTATTGTAATTGTAATTGTCTTGGGCAGTTAAGGGGCACAATGGATAGAGTCCTGGGCCCGGAATTGGGAAGACTCATCTTCCTGAGTTCAAATGTGACCTCAGGTACTTACTGTGATCCTGGGCAAGTCATTTCACCCTGTTTGCCTCAGTTTTCTCATCTATAAAATGAGTTGGAGAAGGAAATGGTAAACCTCTTCAGTATCTCTGCCAAAAAAAAAAAAACTCCAAATTGGATCTCAAAGAGTTGGACATGACTGAAAATGACTGAATAACAAGAGAAATTGTCTAGTATAGTTATTATTAGGCTATTAACTATGCTAATTTGCAGGAAACATTTTAGTGAGATGGAAGAGAGGCCTGAGTTCAAAACTCAGTGTTACTCTAAGCTTTCTGCATTTCGGTTGCCTCATTTGTGAAATAAGGATATTCGATCACTGTTTCCTTCGAGCTCTAAATCCAGTGATAAATCATTTCACTGCTCTGGGCTCTTGTTTCTTGTGTACAAAGTGGGGTTTGGGCTAAGGACCTTTCCAACTAGGTTTCCTATCAACAGAAACAATGTGGAAAAATAGGAAAATCTTACCTCCTCTCTGACTGTGAAAATTTCATAGGCTGTGCTCAGTATGTGTCTTTCAGAAAATCCTCCATAACCAGCTCATGAAACTGATGTTGTATGGAGCAGTGGTGGAACCCTGCTTGCTTGGTATTGCTTTGAAAGGTCCTCTTTTGGGAAGCTGCTATTTCTTAAAAGCTCTTACATTTATTATTGAGTTCTGATGAGGAATACTTCTACAGATAAACACATCTCCTAATTAAAAGCTGCACTTTGAAGACCTAAATTGCCTTACCCTTAATCTGTTCTTTTGTTTTGTATTATATTTTAGAATCAATAATGCCCATGGAAACGAGACTTATTTTTTAATATACACAAATTAGGGAATATTAATACTGGGTCTTCCTGCATAATAAACCTACCCTTAGTGCAGAGATAAGAATTGTGTTGTTTGTGATGACACACCCTGATTGGGGACATACGTTCATTGTGCTTTCAAAGTTACATCACCAAACTCTGATATTCAGATGCATTGCTAAGGGTAGGCCAGGAAGGGGAGGAATCACTGCTGGTATTTCTAATCTAGAGTTCTCAGAGGGATGCCATAGATAAACCATTTCTGCAGGGTCACTTGGTAATTTCATCAGTGGTGAGTCCCCTTATAGCCAATGTCCTTGTGTCCCAAACTGCAATTTGAGGAAATTTCATACCTTTATGTCAGGTATCATCATACTGTATTCTGATAGGAAGTGGACTCACAATTAAAAATATTTCCAATATGAGAAACCAGGCAGTTTGTGCTTAATCATGGAATGCACTGGTCTCTAAAACTAGTTCCTTAAACATCACACACATTGGTTTTAATTTATTCTGTTCAAAGTTCAATCACGGTGGAATGGAAGGACCGCTGGACCTGGAGGCAGCAAAGTCCTGGGGTGCAAATCCCATCTCCTACACTTACTAGCTACGTGATTAGGGGCAAACCACTTATGTTCTCTGAGCCTCAGTTTCTTCATCTTAAAATGAGTACCTACCTCAGAGAGTTGTTTGTGGGACTCAAATAAGATAATGTATCTGAAGAGCTTTGTAAACCAAAGGCAGCTAGTATTATTTATATAAAATTAACATTATCACACAAAAGAATGAGATGGTAGGAAATAATCCTGGGACTAGCAATCAGCAGACCTGACAAGAGAGTCCTGGTCCTGCCATTAACCGGTCTTGTGATGTTGAGTAAGTCATTTCCCCTCTCTGTGCCTCAGTTGTCTTATCTGTCACAATAACTTATAATAACTGCAAATTGAATACCGTTTTAGGGTTTAAAAAATACTTACCTCTCCAAAACCTGGTATGGTAATTAGGTTCATAGAGTTATATAATTCATCCAAGGTCACGTAGCTAGTAAGCGTCTGAGTTAGAATACTTTATTCATTATGATTTCAGTCATCATCCTCATCCTCATCATCAGACAGAACCTTTTCCCCTATAGAAACCCGCCTTACCAATGCAGACCTATACTTGATCTATAAATTATTTGCTTAGAAAATTGCCTTGGGGGAATGAGAGAAATAGAGCCAGGTCTGGAGTCAGGAAGACTTGAGTTCAAATCTGGTCTCAGACATTAGCTGTGTAGCCCTGGGCAAGTCACTTCACCTCTGTTTCAGTTTTCAAATCTGTAAAAATGGGGCTAATGATAGCATCTAGCTTCCAGGGTTGTTATGAGGATCAAATAAGGTGATATTTGTAAAGTGCTTAGGATAGTGCCTGGCACATAGTAAGAACTACATAAATGTTTGCTGTTGCTGCTGCTGTTGCTATTACTTGTCCATAACCATAGAGTCAGTATGCATTAGAGACAGGACTGTGAGGTCAGTAACTCCATGGTGTGGCAAAATGAGGAGTTTGCTTGAATGATCTGTAACATCTGGTCTGCTTCTGACATTAGGATCAAAGAATCATAAGTTTGGAATTGGAAGGGACCCCAATTTCTGGTCCCCCTCACCTGAATACTTCAGAAGAGTGCTCTTCATAGATCTAATCCAATCTCCTAATTTTAGTAGTAACTAATACTGATACAGTAGTTTAAAGTTTGTAACAATTCATATACATTCCATTTGAATCTTCTATCTACCCTGTGAAGTACATACTACAAGTCTAAACACGATTTCTTCTATACTGGAACTCCTTCTGAAAACTCCCTCCATGCAGATCAACAACTGGGGGGGGCGGGGCGTAACACCTTAGAGCTGCCTGGGTCATTGAAGGGTTGAGATACTTGCTCATGGTCACCCAATTGATGTGTCAGAGGCGGGATTTGAACCCAAGTCTCCCAGAAGCGGAAAAGGCAGTTTTCCATCTTCCACTTCATGGAATGACTCAACAAAATTCAGGCTACTAGTTAGTGGCAGAGCCATGTCTAGATTTCAGGTCTCCTGATTCTTTTGCTCCTCCCACACCACAATGTTCCCTCTTGGACTAGTACTGGAGATTAAAATACAAGAAGCAGAGGGGGAAATCACATATATTATTAATTTAACTTTAATTTAAAATTTAAATTTTTTAAAAAATACTGCTGGTTTTTATAGTGAGTCAGGGGCTGTTACCATGGTTTGCAGGAGATGCTGATGATCCCAGGAAGGCCACATGTCTTTGGGCATCTCACACAGTGCCCGCCCTGAGGATGGAATCAAAGTTTCCAGCTGTTAATTACATCTGGCAAAGATGCAGCAACAGCAGTAGCAGCAGGGACTGGGTGTAAGACTGCCCCCCAAAATGTTGTCAAGTGAGGAATAATCCCAGCTTCCCGTGTGTGTGGAGGAAGAAGAGGAGGAGGCAGAGGAGAGAGAGAGAGAGAGAGAGAGAGGGAGGGAGGGAGAGAGAGAGAGAGAGAGAGAGAGAGAGAGAGAGAGAGAGAGAGAGCGCGCTGCTGGTAGTGTTCCGCTCAGACATGGGAGATTAAAACCATCACCTGGGCTCCCGGCTAACTCCCCCTCTGCCGCCTCAGTGGTGCAGACCCGTTTAGAATGCATGTGCCTTTCTCTTTCCAAAGCATTGTAGGATTGGCTCCCGCCTTCCATTCATGTAACCTGCGTGTGTGTGTGTGTGTCTGTGTGTGTGTGTGTGTGTGTGTTGCTAGCTCGCCCTCTCTGTATATGTGTGTAAGAGAGAGACGGGGGGAGGGAGGGGAAGAAGAGAAGGGAAGCGATTAAAAAAATATACCCCAACCCCAAGCCTCAGGATTGCAGCTGTTTAATGTGGGCCAGCAGTCCTACCAGGAACACTTCGCCTGGAGAAACCTGGACCGGCCTTTCGGGTGTGTGTCTGCGAGAGACAGGGGTTTCTTCTATTTCCTCGCTCCCCTCTTGTTATTGTGGAGCCTGCCTGAGAGGATGAGAGCCCGGACCTCCCTGTAGTTGTCCAGTTTGGGATCGTGGAGAGAAGGAGCCAGTACGTCTCGGAGAAGAGTGGCTTTATTTATATAGAAGAAAACTGCACAATTTAATTTTTCCTTCCCTTGCCTTTTGCCCCGGGGAGCCTGCAGACACGGTAAGCCAGCCGGGCTATGGTATATACGGAAAAGTGGCTTTTGTATCCTCGCGACTCCGCTCGGTCTCCCCACCAAGCTCTCCCTTCCCCTGCGCTCCGAAATCGGGGACGGACCCGGCGGGTGCCAGGCTCTTGGGCAGATCTTGAATATGGATCTGCCCACAGCCACCCCCCTCCATCCCCTCCCCACACCTTTTTATGCAGCAAGGCACTTAAGGAGAAGCTAGCCTTCCTCGCTGGCGCCTGCAATCAGAGGCTCTCGGGCGGCGGGGTTGCTGCCGCCGCCGCCGCCGCTGCTGCTTGGCGGCGGCTACTTCCCTAGCCGGCTGTGGGGGGCTCTTTTCAGAACGAACGAGCGAGCCAGCTAGTATACCCTCGCCGCAGCTCTGGCTCCTTGCACACAGTTGGGCAGTGTTCGGAATCGGTTCTGGGCTCGCGGCGGAGGTGGCATAGCTAGTGGTGGTACTCAGAGGATGAATCCACGAGGCGATCACAGCAGCCTGGGGTCCGGAGAAGTCGGGCGGCTTTGGGGGAGAGTCAAGGCGGAGGGTGGGGGCTGGGGAGAGCAAGCTATGCGCACGGTTCCCATGCTTTTTAGGGGCTTCCCGGGGGAATGGGGGGCGGCTGAGGGGGGAAAAGGAGACGGCGTGTAAAGGAGTCTGGCCGGGCTCGCTTCCCCTGGAGCTCCGCGCCTCCTCCCGAAGGCCAGCGCGGGGGTCCGCGGTGCATTCCTGCCCGCCTGGCCGCCGCCTGGGGACATAGCTCTCTCTCCCTCCCTTCCTCGGGAGAGAGCGAGTGAGCTGCGGGTGGAGACGCAGTAGGGAGAAAGGCGAGAAAAAGGCTTCCAGCAGTGCAGTCAGATCAATGATTACAAGCCTTCTTTCTTGCGATTTCTGTGTGATCATAGAACAGCTTTGGAGGACGAAGGTGGGGAAAGGAGAAGGAGAGAGAAGCCGGGTGTGGGGGTGGGAGTCCTCAGTTGGGTTCTCCTTCCGAACGAAACCCATCGGCTCTCCGCCCCATCCTCTCCTCTTACTCTGGCACCTAGCCTGTTTACATTGGGATGTCTGTGTTGAAGTCCAGGTTGGATTCTCGGGCTTTTTCCGTGGGGTCTCTGTTGAGCTTCAACGCCGCCCCCCCAACTTCAGCTTTAGGAAATGTATTCTGGGTTGAAATGTGAGAATCCTGCCTCAATTATTTGCTTGCTGCTTCAAAAATGCAGTCTATATAAATTGGGAAACAGTGCACTCAGAGTGCACTTGGCTAAGCCTGGAATGTTGGTTCTGGAGATGTACTCAGGGAGAAATCTGGAAGCACTTGGATGCGAATTCACGAAATTCAACTAGTGAGTGGTCCATTATGTGGTGGGCTTATCTCCTTCCCCTCGGAGCCCCGTCTGCTGCCTTTCTCCACCCCTCTCTTCTCCCTCCCCCTTGGGTGATGTTGGAAAGTACTGGAAATTGAACTGCGTTGATATTCAACTTTGAAAATTGGCTCCTCTCTTAGGGTAAGACTTTTAGGAGATTTCTTAAATGGCTTCATGCTGACATAGGTATTACGACTCGATACTTGGATGGGTCTAAAACTATTTTCAGCAGCCTCCTAAGTAAATAACTCCCAGTGTGGAAACCTCTATCAATATGCATTTCTCCCTCAGTCCTGTATAAAATCTATGTGTTTATATGCTGCATGTTCGAACAAATAAAGAGGTCGACATATAGATATATAACAAGATAGAGATGTAGGAAGTACTGGGGAGAGTGTGTGGAGAGTGCACACATATGTGCTACACCCAAACTCTTACTTGCTGAATAGATGGGAATTATGTAAGTCTTATCTCTGATCAACAGAAATATTCAAACCCACATTTGAAATGGGACCCTGCCGGTTTTCTCTTTTCCCCTTAATATAAATCAGAGGAGAAAATCATAACCTTACCTTTTGTCACCTAATGAGATCTGCATTTAAGGAAGGAAGGTTGTCTTTCCACAGTACCTTAAGTCCTGAGAATGGAAATTTGAAGCTGACACTGCCTATAGACAATTTTCTACGAACTGGGCCTGGCAGAGCTCTTAGATCAATTTTCCAAAGACTGAGGCAGGTATGTGAACAGTGCTTGGAGGCCTAGAGGGGAAGAACTCTGTGTGTGTTAGGAGGGGTGTCAAAACTACCTGTTTTAAAGGAATCACTGAAAATACAGTGATCTGTGAAAGTGGGAAGTTTGGGTTCTGCAATGGAGATCAAAGAGAAGGAAATCAGAGAAACCAGAGCATCCCATGCCCTCCCCAAATCCCATCACTTTCCTCCTCCACCTTTTCTTCATCTCAAATGCATTTCCCGTGTTCTGAAATTATCCCTAATGCTTGGTCGCAAGCAGAGATGCCTACACTTAAATAAGCAGCTGGGTTCATCCTTAATATTTCACTCTGATAAGTGGGTATGGTCATATGTACCCAAGTCTTCTGTTGGCACAGCCAGTCTCCACTGGGCAATCATAACTGATTTTCTTGACTAATTGGGAGGATGGTGGATGGGGTTATGACTTGACCTCCCCTATCCTCTTCTATTGAACCAAAATTTCTTTCAACTTAATTTATTCCCCTGGTACTTACTGCCCCAACTGTCTCACCTTTGACATCTCTGCCTGAAAGCACTTTTATAGGCTTGGTTAGAAAAATCACAGTAGTGAAGTATTTTTGTTTTGCCTCCCCCTCCCCTCCCCCCAGTAGAGGGATAAGCCTCTTCATCCATATAGAATCTTGTAGAACACTTAAGTCTAGGTGACAGTAATCCTGAATGTCCTGTCTCTCTTACCCCAGTCTGCATTAAATAGGTGCCACTGGTATTTTGGCAGGTTTGGACTGCCTACAACTCCATCCCTCTTCCTGCCCCCCTTCTTAGATCCTAGATCCATCTTAGTCTATTACATGGTATAGGATAAATCCTTGCTCACTCCGCCTGTTCAGGGCCATTAGGATTTCCTGCTGCTGCCATGATCCTTAACAATGCAATTCCAAAGCCAGTATTTATACATGAGAAATCACTAGGTGCTCTAAGGCCATTGACCTTGCTTTAAGGCTCTCCTGGAGATTTTTGCTTCCACTCACCCACCCCACCGCCTAGCATCTCTGCTGCTGAGACACCAAGGGTGACTGCTCAAAGTCTTCTTTATAAGCGCTGGGGAGATTGAATTTGCTAGATAGGGGTAGGGAAGGAATTGGGACTGGAGGGAGGGAGATGCGAGCATTTTGGGAGGGAAGATGTGACTTCCGTGGAGGATGGGGAACTCAACTAGCAACCTGTTTCTCTCAGGGATCCGACGGGCAGAGATGAGGGAACCCCAAGGGAGGAGGCAAAAGAGTGTCGGCATGTTAGCAGCTAAATCCCACCGAGCGTTCCCCTCTCTCTCTCTCTCTCCCTTTTTTTCTTTCTCTCCCCCCACGTCTTTTTCATTTTTTCCCCTCCTGGGGGCAGTCCTATCTGTCTCAGTATCTCGGCCTGCCTGCCGGCCTGCTTAGCTATCTGTCTGTTTGTTGACTCCAGTTTCCCCAAGCCGCTCTATGTCTGAGTTCCCCTCTCTGTACAGCCGTCTGGTTGGGATCCGCTGTTTGCTTGCTTGCTTGCTTGCTTTTTCACTACTCGGTCAGCAGTTGGCTTCCGTTTCGAGCTGGGGATTGGGGGTGGTGGAACGACAGTGGGGGGAGGTGGGTGGAGCTTTGGGTTAAAAAGCCGGCAACCCAAAGGGAAGAAACAGAATCGAGGTTGATCCAGGGCGGTGAGACTGGTCCCAGGACACTCCTCCCACCTTCCTGGGTCTGAGCTCTGCTCCACCTTCTGAGATTTAACCCCTAGTTGAACCAGACATCCACCCCGTCCCCCCAACTATGTTCCCTTCTACCCTCAAGCAACTTAGGGGAGAGTATTATCGCAGATGGGAATGGGAACCCGTTGCGTATTAAGTGTATCTGTGCGGTTGTTTTTTCTCTTGTGGGTGGTTGTGGGTGTAGGAAGAGAGGAAGAGGACAGAGGCTAGAAAAGTGTGATATTGCCTTCTTTCCAAATGCCTGGGATAGTTGCTTTCTTTTTCCTTGGAATAAAGGAAGAATTGAGAAACAGCTATCTTTTTTTCTAGTGAAGGTGATGATGGAAAGGGAGTTGAAATATCTGTCTTGTATGTCGAGTTACCTGTTTGAGTTTATTTTCTGTTTTCCTGGGGTGAGAACAGACAGAAATATGTAGTGGCTGTTCCTGAATTTTTAAGGTAGGACAAAAAGTAATACTTTGTTTAAAAAAAATCAGTTATTAATTGAGGGAAATAATCGTCTTGAATATTTATCTTGAAATGGGTGGGGGCCATTCCACTGACACATTTGTATGTGTCCAGGGGAGGGTGATCAGTGTCAAGAGGGTTTTTGCAGTTATATATGCACACTCATAGCTATACAAAGTCTCTCCCACCTTTTGTCATAGCAGACAGGTGAAGGTAGAGATGGACAGAGAGGCACAAAAGGACAGTGAATTTCACTTTAGAAGATCCAGGTTCATATCCAGCTGTGACAGTAGATTGGACACAAAACTTCATGTCCTGGTGTCTTGATCTTCTTTTTCTGTATAATGGGGAAAATATTCTACTACCTACTTGAGAGGGTTAATGGGAGGAAAGCATTTTGTCAACTGCAAAGGGCTATATAAATACTAATAATAGCCAGCATTTATGTAGTGATTTAGAGTTTGCAAGGCTCTTTGCCTTTATTATCTTATTTGATCTTTATATCAGTCCTGTGAAGTAGGTGCTATTGTTACCCTCAGTTTACCTTTGAGGAAACAGTCTGAGAGAAGTTGTATGACATGCCTGTGGTCATGAAGTTAGGCAAAATTTGAACAAGGAGGCTTCTTAAAAGTCCAATTCTAGCCCTATCCATGAGGCTACCTAGCTCTCCTGCTGTAAGATATATTTCCATATTCTAAGGATCCATGATTTCATCAGTATGGGTGTCCTC